AATTCCCCCACATCTCTGCCGACCCTGGGTAAATCTTCTAACCGAATTAGCGAGTCTCTTCTTCACGTACCGTTAAAATATTCATAACTTCTCACTTTTCTGCGCCATTTTTCAATAAAATAAAAAGTGAAAAACTGTCTGAAAGGGTGTATCGTTTTAAAGTTTTACTATTTATTAAATAAATTAAAAAAAAATAGAAAATTGCTCGCAACACTTGTCATTTTTTCATTATTCTTATTAAAATGGAATTATGGGAAATTGGGCGATAGGTATGCTATTTTTCTATTTTTTCATTTTTTTGAACAAAATGGAAAAAATGGTGGGAATAAATATGATTTTTTTCATTTTTCTGTTTTCTTTTATTTTTGGCGAAAAACGGAAAAATAGAAAAATGAGTTAGGAATCGGACATCATTTCATTTTTCTCATTTTTCTAACAATAGCAAGAAAACAAAAAATAGCAAAATATCGCTTTTAGCCGTTTACCGTATTTTTGGTATTTTTGAAGCGGACTTCAAAATTAGAAAAATGAAAAAATGATCAATTTTCCTGACCATTTTCTTTTTTTCTATTTTTGTCTGTACTTTAAAATATGTAAATATGACAAGGATAAGTAATATTTCCTGTTTCCGTTTTTGTTGGAAAAATCCTTTAAGTCTAGCATACGGCGTATTAACCTTGTGGATCTTATAAGTGACAATTGTGGCTCTTGTCTTATTTGTAGTTCTTGAGAATTTTTAGAAATATTTTTAGCATTTTTCTGTATATTTTAGTGGGGGTAACTCCGAAATCTTTTAACTTTTAACTTTTTATAAATTTTAGATTTTAGAAAATTATAAATTTACCCAATGATACCATGTATAAACTCATTTTATATGTATATTTTTTCTATTACACATATTTTAGTGTCCCCAATTAGCTTTTATAAGCTAAAGTCATCGACACTTAAATAAAGTTGTTATGTTATGTTATATGTTATGTTACCTCCTCGTAGTAGTTCTTCAAAACTTTGGCCCTTTTCTCCGCCTGGTTTCAGAATATAAACACGTTTACTTCTAAAAAAAAAAGTGGATAAAATCCATGGAGCATTATGTTTTGCGTATTCTTGTATTTTTTCCATTCATTCCAGAAGTACAACAATTTTATTTTGTCTTCAAATAGCCGTAAACGCCAGTTTTTTAGCTCAGTTTTACCCAAGCAGCCTCGTTTCCAACCAAATATACCATCGAATCGATGGTATAAGGCTCGCATGTTCCAAATATGGTATGCGCCTGTTGCTAATAAAGAATTAGCCGGGAGATTGGAGCCAATCAGAAACGGCGAAATATTTGGAATGAATAATAATACTAATTGTCGAGCGCTACGAAACAAGTTTGTTGTTTCTCCATCAAACGTATCCTTGTCTCTGTTCAGCCATAGTTCACAAAAGCGCAGTCAAGACACGAATTAGTAACACACTCGCCTGTGGCTTGTGTGCCACCTTTTTTGTTCTTACCACATTTTTATGTCATCTGTGACCCAGAAAAGTACACTATGGATAAAAGAATACTAGTACTTGCAGATAAGTAGATGATATTGGATTCGGTTGGCTAGCTATCAGCTAAGATTTTGTCAGTAAGACACGATAGTGGCCAGCGCTCAAATTACCCCAATTATAAGTAGGGATGCTGTTTTAAAGTCTTTGGCTGTGATAAAAACGTAGATAGGAAGAATCGTGTAATGAATATATCTTACAAAAAACAAGTTGACGAAACCCTCTATTTCTCTTCTCAGGGCCCAGTAGCTCATCGGAAAGGGAAACCTTACACTTGTCTTAATAGCATTCATGGAGAAAAGTCCAGAGGTAGATGATGTCACATCTACTGATGCAGGAACACTCCTGTTTGATGCAGACACTTTACGAGGTGAAAAGAAAAAGAAAAATGTTTTTTTCATTCCATAGTATGGTTTCAACAGTTGAAAACTTGAATTCGGTTAAAGGGAAGACCTTACCCATTCACAAGAACATTTTTTTCATGTGTAGTCCCAGATATAAAACCCCGGCTTGGAGTAGGCCAAACAAGAGCAAATGATGATCACATTGGTTTTCGCAAAAACGCCTTGTAAAATCACTGAAAAAATTTTAATTTGCTGCATTAGCAATTGCAGAGGTTTACAAGAATTGGGGTAACGAGGAGTACAACAAGAAGAATTACAGCAGCGCCATTAGCTACTACACAGACGGAATTAAAGTGAACTGCAAGGATAAAGAACTGACTGCCAAACTGTACAGTAACAGGGCGGCAGCGCATTTTAATTTGAGTAAGAAGTTGCCATTGTAGTTAGTTATCGTGATGTTACATTTACCTTGAACTCATTAAAGATCTTTTTAAGTAGTGGTTCTGTATATAAGAACAATTATCAACAATCACTGAAAGCGTCAGCCTTTGCTACTCACGCTTTGTGGAATGCTGCTTAAAAAAAGTTGACAGACTACACAACAACTGCTTCTCCTAATATCTACTTGCAGTAGCTGTTCATTCACTATTTTTCACATAGACCATAATGCACATTAATTGCTTACCTCCAAAATCTTGAATGTCCATTGTTTTCAATTTCTCGTGGGTATTACAGTCGTCCCAAGAAAAAGCGAAGAGAATAGTTATGCAAGATTTTCTTTTCCATTTTTTATTTGGGAGGGTGGGGGGGGGGGGGGGGGGGGGGGGGGGGGGGGGGGCGGGTAAAAAAGGTGCATTATAGTGTATATGGAAATGGTGAATAGGCCATTTTACAGTTGTGGATGGGAGCGAGGCTGAGGGTGACCTTGTTTTGATACAAACCTTCCTGCTTTATTATGTCAATCAAGTTATTCTTATGCAAACTAGTATTTTTCGAGAACAATTTCCATAACAAAGCAGAGAGGGTTTGTATCAAAACAAGGTCACCCTCAGCCTCGCTTCCATCCACAACTGTAAAATGGTTTGTTAGTGGGATCCCAGGCTAAATGCGTGCAATTCCACAATATTGGTTTCGGCTTTATGAAATTTTTTTACCAATAGCAGAAGATTTGGGAGCAGCCACTGCACACACAACGCGAGAACAAATACTGACAGGTCACGATACTAAGGAATGCAATGTCTATTTTAAAGTACTACTAAGTCAACCTCGTCCCTAGGGCTTTTCCCTTAAAAAATGGGTTGGGCGCCCCACCTATTTTTTAAGGGAAAAGCCCTGCGGACGAGGCTGCTTCTAAGTGACAAAAAGTTCAAAAGATACAGTACAACAATTAAGAATTATATGAAAGTGTCAACTTAAACTGCGTTTTTGGGTGTGTTATTTATTTTTCCTCAGAGAATTACACTGAAACACTGAATGATGCCAAAACTGCCATAGACGTACAACCATCATTTGTAAAGGCTTTTGTGCGAGGTATGTCGACTATGGGCCAATCGATCCTGACTGCGATTACTGATTTGCTTGTGTATAACTAGCAAAACTCACCAACATCTTTCCTAAAATAAACGTTTATGATTCAAAATAACGCAAGACAAACTGCGCTCAGCTTAGGGGCTGTTAACAGCCGTTTTCACTCTAGAGACGGATAAACAGACAATTTAAGTCAGACAGATTACTCGTCAAAATTAAAGCCGTTCCGTTTTCACATTGAGACAGATTGTTTGTCTGAAGCGAATTACTCAACGGATAACCCTTCTGGGACGGATGGGAAAATGGCCATTGATGTTTTCAGTTACCATGACAACAAATGTGTTTTCTCTCAGTAGACCTCAGTAATGTTGGACTTTTCAGATTTATTTACCACGAAATTCTTATAGAGAGTTATCTTGCTCTGGAGTGGGTTACGTTAATTAGACTATTGTTTTTTTGTGTGTGTTTTCGCGCACCAATCTCATTCTTCCCAGGTTTACTTATTGCCTAATTTCAAACCGAGAGTGGTTGTGTACGAGTCCGTTTATAAGGCGATAAACAACAAAAAATCCAGATAGTCAGAAAGAGCACATTGAGGTTAGCAACATTTCCAAATTTGGTAAAAAATATATAGACATCCAGCAATCCATATATCTCTTATAAATTTTTAAGTTTATCTTGTTCAATATTCCCACGATTGACACCAAACTTTAGCTTATATCTGAATAGCATTTACAGCCTAAATGTGTTTTAGCCTGAGCTTTTTTTCTTAACAGGGGCAAGTGCCTGCGTTCAGTTGAAACTATTCAGCGAGGCCATCACGTGGTGTGAAAAAGGATTAGAAGTATCTTTTACTGAAGTTTACAGAGGAAGTCGATTTAGAGATCATTTCTTCACAAACCTTCTTCATTTTTCTTCTATTCACTGTTGAAAATATTTCTAGTGCAGACTCACATGCATTTAAGACTAAATACATCAATAGGTGCCTTGTACAAAGCAGACCTATAAGCCTTTGCAATCTATCCTTCTCACTAAAAATAGTGAGGTGTAAACGTGCAGTGAAGTGGAGCAGTTTTAATTAAATATTTGGTCGTTAATACACAGCACGTACTTTACAATACACTCATGGGTTTATATCTCCAAGGAAACTAAGGGAGACTCTAGATAATTTATTTCAAGGGCAGAAACTTGGCAGGTTTTTAAATTTCTTGACAATTGAACTTGTACAAGATCGACCAGAATAACCAGAAGCTGTTGGATTTACTGGATAGGTCTGTGAGAGAACAAAAGAAGCTGAACGTAAATAATTACGGAGAACAGGTGAGAGTGATGGAGAAAGGGCTTGGATTGCGTTATTTCCGCGTTTTTGAATATGCTTTTCAGAGATGTTAACTTGGAGGTCTCATCTTACTGTACAGTATCGATACGGTAGGCTAGAGAAGCATATACCCTCCTTTAGCAAATAATATTAAATGAGGTGCTGATCCACCTCTGATCGATCTGTTTACGTAGCTTGGCCCCACACGGGTGGGTGTATACAAATCCCTGGCTAGCCTACCTTACGGCCTACCCTATGGACCACCCTAAATTTTGTAATTTTGCTGAAATAACAAAACAACAGGCCTGAGCAAAGCAAAAGAGATAAGCAGAGAAGAGAAAATAGCTCGCGCGTATATAAAGGAAAGTACTTATAGCTGAAATATGCAGTCAGTATGTGCCGAAAGGACTGCTTAGGTCACAGGGAGTGGAGGGGTTATTTGTGACCTTGCCTGTTGTTAAATGTTTTAGCTAATAGCTCTGTTCGCCTGTGTCTACTGTTAAGAATCGGGTCCTGAGGTTGGAATCGATAACAATGAACAATCCACTGCGTGTGTTAGATCATGATAAGACCAATTACAACACCTACAGAAAATAAACAATTATTTGAATTGTCCTAAATGATTTTCAGTTTCTCCAAACTTCTGTCGTATTTGTTCTTTAAAAGAAAAATTTCGAAATTAAAGACTTTCTCGATACTATACTTTTTGGAACGCATCACCCCTCTTTACGGAATGATATATTTCCAGATGATGAAAATGTAATGTAACATATGTCATAAATCATGTACGTTATTTATTTCACAGAAAAATTGCACGAAGGCGACATACACAGTAGGCGACCTTGGTACTTTTGGTAAAATTGACAACTTTGAGAACAGGTCAGGAGAAGGAAAGGCGTATGGCCGGGGCAATGATCTTTACAACGCCTCTCACAGTTTGAGAGATTTTGAAAAAGCCATAGACAACTATGAACGTCTCCTAAAAATTGCGAAGCAGTTGGGTAACAGAACGGAAGAAGGAGCGGCGTATTGCAATCTGGGCATCATCCGTCGCAAACAAGGAGATTTTAAAACAGCCGTAGACTACCATGAACGACATCTAAAAATTGCGAAAGAATTGGGTGACACATCGGGTGAAGGAAAGGCGTATTGCAATCTTGGCAATGTCTATCACGATATGGGAGATTTTAAAACAGCCATAGACTACCATGAAAGTAATCTAAAAATTACAAAAGAATTGTGCGACAGATCGGGAGAAGGAAAGGCGTATGGAAATCTCGGAAACGCGTATCACAAGCTGGGAAGTTTTAAAACAGCTATGGACTACCATGAACGTTGTCTAGAAGTTGCGGAAGAATTGGATGACACTTCGGGAAAAGGAGTAGCGTATTGCAATCTTGGCAACGTCTATCACAGTATGGGGGATTATAAAAAAGCTATAGAATACCATAAACAAAGTCTAAAAATTGCTGAAAACTTGGGAGACAGATCGGGTGAAGCAAAAGCGTATAGCAATCTTGGATGCGCCTTTGACGGTTTGGGAGATTTTAGAAAAGCCATAGACTACCATGAACGTGATCTTAAAATTGTAAAAGAACTAGGGGACAGATTGGGAGAAGGAGAGGCGTATAACAATCTTGGCATCGCCTATCGCAATCTGGGAGATTTTAAAAAATCCATTGATTTTTTTAAACTTTATCTAAAACTTTCCACACAATTGGGTGACAGATCGGGAGAAGGAAGGGCGTATTGCAACTTGGCCGTTGCTCATAACAGTATGGAAAATTTTAAAATAGTCATACACTGCTATAAACGTCATTCGGAAATCGCGAAAGAATTGGGTGTCAGGTGGAGAGAGGGAGAGGCATATGGCAATCTTGGTGACGCCTATCACAGACTGGGAGAATTCAAAACAGCCATAGACTACTATGAACGGTGTCTGGAAATTGCGAAAGAACTGGGTGACAGGTCGAGAGAAGGAGCGGCGTATGGTGATCTTGGCAACGTCCATTACAGACTGGGAGATTTTAAAACAGCCTTAGACTACCATGAACGGCATCTCAAAATTGCGAGAGAACTGGGTGACAGATCGAGAGAAGGAGTGGCGTATGGCGCTCTTGGCAACGTTCTTGTTAGTCTGGGAGATTTTAAAACAGCCAAAGACTACCATGAACAACAACTAAAGATTGCGAAAGAATTGGGTGACACGTTGGGAGAAGGAGTGGCGTATGGCGCTCTTGGCAACGCTGTTGTCAGTCTGGGAGATTTTAAAACAGCCAAAGACTACTATGAACAACAACTAAAAATTGCGAAACAATTGAGTGACACATTGGAGGAAGGAGTGGCGTATGGAAATCTTGGCAACACCCATTACCATATGGGAGATTTTAAAACAGCCATAGACTACTATAAACGACTACTAAAAATTGCCAAAGAATTGGGTGACACATCGGGAGTAGGAAAGGCGTATGGCAATCTTGGCAACGTTTATCGCAGTCTGGGAGAATTTAAAGCAGCCATAGACTACTATGAAGGTGATCTTAAAATTGCGAAAGAACTGGGTGACAAATCGGAAGAAGGAAATGCGTATGGAAGTCTTGGAAACGTCTATTACAATCTGGAAGATTTTAAAACAGCTTTAGACTACCATGAACGTGCTCTAAAAATTGCGGAAGAATTGGATGAAACGTCGGGAAAAGGAGCGGCATATTGCAATCTTGGTAACGTCCATTACAGACTGGGAGACTTGAAAACAGCCCTAGACTACCATAAACGTCATTTGAAAATTGCGAAAGAACTGGGTGACAGATCGGGAGAAGGAAACGCGCATGGAAATCTTGGATGCACCTTCGAAAGTCTGGGAGATTTTGAAACAGCCATACATCATTATGAACGTCACCTAGACATTGCGAAAGAATTGAGTGACACATTAGGAGAGGCGAAAGCTTGTTGGAATTCAGGTACATTTTATGAATATCTAGGCCAAGTTCCAATGGCTAAGGGATACTATCAGAGCAGTATTACTTTGTTAAATAATATCAGAGATCGTCTTCAATTTGACGACAAGTTGAAAATAAGCTTTCGTGATCGATACCAAGGAATATACGCTGCACTTTGGCGCTTGATGTTAAGAGAAGGCAAGTTTACTGAGGCTTTGATTTCTGCGGAGAAGGTTCGGGCACAGGGTCTAAGAGATCTTATGGTATTTAATTATGGATTTGAAGTGAATGATATTGAATCAAGTGAAGATCACAGGTCCTTTCCTCCGAATACCATATTTATGGCAATTGTAGAAAACGAATTAGTCTTTTGGGTTTGTCAGAACTGGAAGGAGGTTAAATTAAGAAAAAAGGAAGTCAGTTCCCAGTTTGACACTAGCACTTATTTACAGTCTCTTGTCGATGATATGGGTGAAAGTGCCTTGAATACACTATACGACATCATCATTGATCCTATTAAAGATCTGTTTTCGGGAAATGAACTCATATTCGTGCCTGAAGGCCCACTTTGCTTGGCTCCCTTTGCTGCATTTAAGGGCCCAAACTCCGAACACCTCTGTGCATCATTCAGAATTCGCTTGATTCCATCTCTCACCAGCTTGAAAATGATTGGAGATTGTCCGGTAGATTATCACTGTAAGTCTGGCGTGCTTCTTGTTGGTGACCCATGGGTGCAAGAAGTGACAGAGCGAGAGCAGTTGCCATATGCCAAAGAGGAAGTAGAGATGATTGGTGAAATGCTTGGTTGTACACCTCTTGTTGGAAGACAGGCCACAAAGGATGCGGTATTAAGACGAATCGGTTCGGTTGCTTTGGTGCACATCGCTGCACATGGCAGCATGGAAACGGGCGAAATTGCCTTGGCGCCAGATGATGCTAAGATGGATTTCATTTTGACAATGAGAGATGTACTGCGTGTTAAAATGCGTGCGAGACTGGTTGTACTCAGCTGTTGTCATAGTGCTCAAGGAGAGATAAAAGCAGAAGGCGTGGTTGGCATAGCACGGGCATTTTTGGGTGCTGGTGCTCGTTCTGTTCTGGTGTCGTTGTGGGCGATTGATGACAAGGCCACTCTTGAGTTTATGAAAAATTTCTATCAATTTCTTGTGACAGGAAAAAGTGCCAGTGAAGCCTTAAACCAAGCAATGAACTGCATGAGAGAATCTGAGGAATTTGGTGTAGTCAAGTACTGGGCACCGTTTGTGCTCATCGGTGATGACGTCACATTAGAATTGTCAGGATACGAATAAATTTCCTTAAAGGTAAAGGTTATTTTGCTTTTGAAAACACTCTTATACTACACGGACATCGTTTTGTACAGTATTTTTCTACCCCCTATAAACGCTTTTAATAAGTCTGGGCGCCATCTTGAATGACGTCATTCGCGGAAAGATCATACACGTGGCTAAAATGGCTTCCAAAGATGAAAGCCCTGTTGACGTTGATCTTCAGAGTGTTCATATAAAAAGGAACGTTTTTACTTTACATCAAGAGGAATATTTTCTTTATACAATGTCTTTATGGGTATGTTATCGTAACTCTAAAGCCTTCGTGCAAAGATGTTGCTGGATCGATGAATCGGGGGCAAACGAGAGCTGATATAAATGCAAAAAAAAGAAAACTGCGAATTAAAGTTTTGGCTTAATGGTCGTGGCTTACGTCAACAGACACGAGCTTAACTTCTTCCCAGGTAATCTTTTTTAGCAATGGTTTTGATACTTTTCATTTTTTATGCGGGCCTTTATTAGAAAAGCTAAAAACGATTAATTATTACCGCTCGTAGGAGACTTAGATTATCTATCAGGCATTAATAAAAGCCAATTGAAAGGATTTTTCATGTCGCTATTCTGATCCTTCTAAAATGTACGATAATTCTATCTCGATAGAAAGTTTATGCTTTTCCAGCCATCATCAGTTTTTTTAATGTTATTATGTATAGGTTTTAGGATGAGAAAGAAGTTGGATAAATAGCAATTATTCACCGAAGTGGAGGTGGCTAGTCCTGGATATTTACCGAACTGCGAAGCAGTGAGGTAAATATCCATGACTAACCACCGACACTGAGGTGAATAATTGTTTTAGTATATACTAAAACAGTGAGATAATTGAGCACAAAAATGACGATTTTTAACTCAAATACTGTTGCCAACGATTACAATTTTGGCGCGTAATGACCGGGCGGCCGCGGCCGTCGCTTTTTTTTGCCGACAATTAAAACTTTTGAAGGCATTTGTTTGGCTCTTGCGGGGAAATTTCTTCAAAAGGAGTTGTGAATTCTTTTTGTATTTAAAATCATTTTATAAAAAAAGATTATTAAATATAGTTTTAAGCTTATTTATGAACAACTCAACTAAATAAAGTAAGCAAGACTTAAACTTAATTTGCATTTGTAAACAAAAACTTTTTCACCGGTTTTATCGATAAATTCGTGCCAAAAAGACAAAGCTTTACCTGTTAAAACTTCCAATCCGAACTTCGTCACCTTCTTCGTGTATTTCGGAAACAGCTTGCTTGATTAGTCGTGAAATTTCTTTGTTTGTTTACGGCAGCAAACTGGGAAGGCATTTTGCTCGCAACTTAAGCGAGTTTGGCGTTGCTCGCTCGGAGGAACTGGAGGTGAATCAGTGAATAGTGCAGGATATTCACTGATTGAGTAGCCAATAAGAGCGCGCGAAAAACACTATCCACTGTTTTAGTATATACTAAAAACGTTTATACTCCAGTCGATCCTTGCACAGAATAATTTTTCACTCTGGAAAGGCGTTGCTCAGTAAGGCCCAAAATGGCTAACAGATGTAATTTATGGCTGTGAAAAAAGAGAACACCTTCTGATTTTGCGGGATATATTCATATTTTTAAAGGCAGTTCATTTACTGCAGTTTAAATGGATGCAAAGTTCTAAACTTGGTATGTGAAAGGGGAACCATTTGTCAAGGTATAAAAAATGGCATTTAAAACATACAAAAGGGTCTTTGGTGGAGCCTCCCTGTATAAAACTCCGTTGAGTACCCCCCAGACCTCTAAAATCCATACCCGATTTCAGACCTGGGGCCCGTTTCTCCAAAGTCCCGGTAACTTTACGGGCCCGAAATCAAATATTCAAATCGAAATAAAAAGAATAAGAGCGCGGGTCCTGGCCATCAAACTACTCCATTTTGTTTCACTACTGATAGTTTTATCACGTTCGATGCAAAACTATTGAAACGTCGATCTTTAATGTAGACGGAGACAGCTTACCGGGCCCGTTAATTATCGGGACTTTCGAGAAACGGGCCCCTGGCCCTTAGGGAGAAATTATGTTGTCATTACTTAGATTAGAGCGCAAACAAAAAAAATTCTTCAAATCCACTTCGAATTCAAACTGTACATTTTGCAACACTAAAATCCTCGTCTCCTTTTGAGAAAATAAACCGAAACTCGACTGCGATTACTCGTATTAGCAAATTTTATCTCTTGTTTGCCCCCTGAAATGATGGCCGGTATAGTAGAAGAGAATAGATGTTTTATTTAGCCGCCGTAGTTTTATCAGCTAAAGTTGGTTTACTTAAAAGCCGTCTTAAAAAATGTATTTATCTATCAGAGTTTCAAGTTAATATTAGTTGTGAAAAAGAAAACATATATATGTAAAACTAGGTATTAACCTTTGATAAAATATTCTAAACTAGGATTATAGTAAGGAATCAAAGAAGCTGGGAAGCAAGCGGTCTATAGTTTAGATTTAAATATACCGATTTTGATAATTAGGTGACTAAAGTAAATAATGGTATAGATATGAAAGTTACGCAAGAAGTCTGGTAAATATACCGAATTTTTGAAAAATGGCAATTTTGGTTTGTAATTTTGACATCAATTTTGGCCAAACTCTAGCCCCAGGCTCCTCTCTGTCCAATATCTTGAGGACATGCATAAACGGAAAGTTCTACTCTATTATGGTAGAGTTCAACGTCAAATCTATTTGGCAGCACAATTTACCAATAGATTTTTATGGCGCCTTTAAAATGCCCTCCAGAAGGCTGGACTTTTGGTGTTTAAAGGGCAAAAAATGAGGACCCCCCTCCTGAAACTTCAAAACTAAAAGTCAGAGAAGTGAGCCAAAGTGGCTTTTGAAATACCTCATCACACCCAGCTTCAGTTTCAGCCAAATCGGTTGACCACAACTGTTGGCCCCAAGAACACTCTCTCAGACAGTGACACCCAGAAGTAGAGTACGTGTATATGAAACTTGAAAACAATGCTCTACGCTCTACTGAACTAGCGGTTACATATTTTACGGACAAAATCAGGAAAGAAGTTGACAATGGAAACATCGTGGGTGCTGTTTTTATCGATCTGTCAAAAGCATTTGACACTGTTAGTCATTCATGCCTTCTTAACAAGTTGCCGTCTTATGGAATTAACAATAAGGAGCTTCATTGGTTTACTGATTATTTGTTTTCTCGAACGCAATCAGTCCAATTCAAAGGTGCTTTGTCAGATGCCAATCCCATATTTTCTGGAGTTCCACAAGGAAGTATATTGGGTCCGCTATTGTTTACTATCCATTTTAATGATGTGCATACGCCTCTTCAGTCAACCTCAGTCATCACTTATGCGGATGATACAGTAATTTTCACGGCTGCTAAAGATCTGGAATCCATTCAAAGGCATCTCAGTGAAGATTGCCACAACCTGTCTTCTTGGTTTCGTGATAATGAGCTTGTCCTTAATCTAAAAAAGGGCAAAACTGAGTGTATGATCTTTGGTACTGCCAAAAGGCTTAATGCATTGAATGGAAGACAACTAGCCTTGACTGTAAATGGAACACTGATTAATACCACGTCATCGTATAAATACTTGGGTGTAAACTTGGATTCATCCTTAAATCTCGAATCACATTTTGACAAAATGTATAAAAGAGCAGCTGGAAGATTTAATTTACTCAGGAGAATCCGACCTTTAATCGACAAGAGCAGTGCTGAGAAAATCTACAAAGCAATGATTCAACCTGTTTTTACGTACTGTGGAACTTTGGGTCTCTGTTGGTCACATTCCCGTAAGAGTCGAATTGAAAGCATTGAACGTCGAAGTCAGAAAGTCATTGGTGGAAATTATCAAGTCCAGACAGTGGAGAGTTTAATAAAGAGGCAGTCCTGCCAGCTTGTGTTTGATTGTCTTCAGGATAATGTCTGTACCCCTTTTAAAGGATATTTTACAAAAATTGAACACAACATTAACACTAGAAACAATGGGTGTTCACTAAAACTTCCCAAAACCAAATTAGAATTTGGACGGAGAAGTTTTGCCTTTCAAGGGGCTCTAGTTTATAATACTTTACCTCGGCATTTAAGAACTGTAAACTCTAGGTTTCTTTTTAAGAGTAATTTAAAACAATTTTTTCAATAGTATTCCATAATTCATAACTCTTTTCAGTCTTGTAAGTCGATGATTTTTACAGATTTTGATTTTTAAATCTTAGATTTCTTAGTGTTATTTTATTCTATTTTCCTTTTTCGATTTTATTTTTTATTTTTTAGCTAATTATGAGATAATTACAGGACCCTTTTGATAACAGTTCTTTTTATTAGAACTGATAGGTTATCCTGTATAAATATTCGCGTTATTATTATTATTATTAATGCCAGTGAATAATGGGGACGCTCACTTGTAAACACAAAATCTCGGGAGAAAATTTGTGACATTTGAGGCCCCATTTAATTACCTTGTCTTAATAATGCTGGTTCGTTAATTTAGAATCCCAGAAGAAGAAAACAAAAAAATCTAAAGTCCTGTAGTAGTGGCTTCTGTTTAATACGTGTTACTTGACAGTGAAACGTCCCTATAAAAAAAGAAACATGAAGTAAGTCAATTTTAATTGATCAACTTCTTCAAAGAAGTTAATGTATAGTCTTCTGTCTCTGGAAAGACTCCAGCTGCGTCCCTGTTTTCTAAGTAAGGGAGAAAACCAGATGCATAATCTGACTAGTTTCGGTTTCGGCACGTATGTGAACACCGAATGGTTTAAAAACTGAAATCACTTTAGTGAAGGTTATTGGCTTTAGAAAAACCCATAGGTGTAAACTTAGGGTCTCCTGCTCTGGTTAATGGTGATCAGACGAGTGTCAGTCTTCTTTTTCCTTTTTTTTTTCAGTTGCCTAAGGCGAAAAAGCAGGCATTGTCTTAGGAAAAAGGGGAAACCCTAATATTTAACGCTGATTTATTCGGCTGAGCCTCTTGCGGAGTTCTAGCTCTGACATTTTGAAAAAGATTTCACTTGTTTAACTGGTTTTAAAGGTACATTTCATACAGCAGGGCCTTCACTTCTAAAATATTGTTCACCGAAAGAGGAAAATCAACTTGGAACATCTGGTTAAGGTAAGAACCGTCTAGTCGTGCTACTTCATGAAGTACTATTTGTGTTCATTGAAAAAGCGGAAATCGAAGAGAGTCGTAAGCCGTTCTCCATTTTCCTGTGAGATTGTCGCGAACGAGCGAAAGAGATAGAACCCTTCATGACTGAAACTCCTAAAAGGCTATTCATTGCCAGTCAGGATCATCCGCCAGAACCATCGGGACGGATCCGACAGCAGTTCAAAACACTTTTCAAAATATTGTTATTTGATCAAAAGATCGTTTTGAGCAGACTATTTTCATAACTAGTCATCAAAATTTTCACGAGACTGTTTTAGCTAAAAATAGGAACAGAATAGGTAACTTGAAAATGGATCCGTCTTCCTCCATAAAAATTCTTGCTGCCATTTGGCTGAAGATGATAATAATGATAATAATAATAACATTGATAACTATTTATTCACAAATCCATAGAAAAGTGAAAAGGAGATAAAGGAGGTTATCCCTTTCTTCTAGTTTATCTCCTGATAATAAAAACAAATTAAAAACATTAATATATTATTTACAACTGTTTAAAGTACTAAATATAAAATATCATAATATTAATAGCAAACGTTTGGAGAACTAAGAAAAATTGAAGAACTTGGAGAACCTGGAGAACTAGAAAAATTTGCAAGTTGACATTTCAGTCTGTTCTTAAAAGTAGTTAAATTTTCCGCCTCAGCAATTTCCTTTGACAGATTATTCCACTTGTCGATTATGCGTATAAAAAAAGAATGTTTAAAAGTATTTCAAGCTGAGGATGCAATCTTAAGTTTAAAACGGTGATTAGCTCTTAATAATAAGGGCCGAAAATCATGTGCAAACGTAAAATAAAGCTGAGTGATCTAATGCATTAAGTCTGTTTGTACAGGTAATCACATGATTTCGAGTGCAATTTGGAATAAATAAGCACGAGTAAATTTTTTCAAAGGCTAACAAAATTGCACGAGCCCGTAGGGCGAGTGCAATTTGTGGTCTTTGAAAAAATTTACGAGTGCTTATTTATTCCAAATTGCACGAGAAAAATTATGTGATTACTTATTAATAATATTCACGAAAAAATTGCGAGATAGCTTTAAAATCTCTTTAATAGGGAGTCAACCCGCGTAAATTACGTGCAAAAATAAATTGTTCAAATGCTGCAAATATCATCACACGTGCAGTCAAAACAACATTTTGCTCGATGTTTTTAAAGTTTGCAAGCTGCAGAAACGGGGTGAACAGTTCATGGAATTGTTCAATGTGTTTGAAATAAAGATTCTGGGTTATTACCTCGAGTTTTCCGCTCTTCCAGAGAATTTCTTCTTCCTCCTCTGATACTTGCCGAGCTTTGTTTGGGCGCTTACCACGGCCAGCAAAGCGAAGCTGTTTCGCTTTTTCCTCTAACACCTCTTTGGACGAACTAAATTCTCGGTCACGTACAATGGACAGGGTGCAGCTTTTGTTCTTTAAGTGTCTATCAAGCGATGCCTTCATTACTTTAAGGCTTTCTGGTTCATAAATCTTCACCTTTTTTGTATTGTTTACTTCGGCGTAGAAATGCTCGGGCAAAGTGTTAAGCTCAGCCGGCTCATAATTTTCTATTTCATCAATAATTTCCTTACCTACGCACCAATTCTTCCAAAAAGAGAGCCAAAAACCAGTGCTTTTCGCAGTGTTTTCGTTTTTAGAGCAGTTTTTCAGCTCCTCTACAATTGTTTCGGTCGCAAAAGTAAATGTGCTGCAATCGCCAACCATTGCGGTTTTTGCTCGAAACTGGTCCGCAGCGGATCCAAATTTTGCGCCATTTAGATCACGCATTTGATTGGCTCTCAGTGAGTTCCTTTGTTTATTAGCCAATCAGAATGTCACGTTTGTTACTCTTTTCTGCACTGTGTTACCTAAAAACTGCATTCCTCGTAGCCAATCACAATCGAGAAATTTTTTCACGTATATTATTAATTGTCTTATAACACTCGGTAAGTGACGAAAATAATCTTCTTTGTTAGAGTGTTGGCTAAGGAACTAGACGTTCTTCGTAGGAAATGTCTTGCCCAATATTTCCAAGGGCGCATTTGGATGCTGCTCTTCGTTCGAGTCTTTATTTAAGGTGCGCACACCAAACTGGAGAGCAGTACATACTCGAGTAGTATCGGACATCCTAGGCTTATATAAAGTTTTGAAAACAACTCAGGATCTTTAGGACCCACCGTTCGTCTTATGAATCCAAAGACACTGTTTGCCTTATTTGCGCATTTGTTGGCTTGCATAATCCATGAAGTAATGTAATCCATGAAGTAATGTAAATTCCAAGATCCTTAACTTCAGATACTGTTTTCAACTGCTTACCACATAGATGATATTGAGCGCTTAAGTAATCATTCTTTTTAGAAATGCGCATCACTTCGCATATATCAGTGTTAAATTTCAGTTGCCAGTCGTTGCTCCAAGATTCCAGGTGAGAAAGATCTTTCTGTAACTCTTCCGCATCTTCCTTAGTATCCCCGAGTACCCTATACACCTTCATATCATTTGCAAAGAGTTTTGTGTCTGACATAATATTTCTTGAGATATCATTGATATAAATGAGGAATAAAATAGGTCCCAACAAGGCTCTTTGGGGTTAACCAGACAACACGGAAGTCCAAGATGAGTGATGTCCCCGCATGTCGACGCCCTCGTATGGATTGGTAAGAAAACTTCTAAACCAAGACATGAGTGAAGCTTGGGTATAAAAGGCGTTCATGTGGCACCGAGTCAAAGCTTTCGAAAGATCTAAAAAAAAAAACATTTGTTGACAAACCTTTGTCGGAGAGTCTGTCCGAAGGCCTCGTGAAAATAGTATGGCAAATTAGGTATTTTCTTGACGCTCTTACAAAAACAACGAAAGCTTGTCTTTTTCAGTTCAAATGATATGTTACTCTTTTCTCGAAGTTACAATCAAGCTTTATTGTATCTACAGCTACATCTAAGCTTTCCGTCAACTCCTACCCTCGCAAAGAAAAAAGCGTTTCGTACTTTGTTGACACAGTGAATTTTACCACATTTTAGGATGTTAAAATATCGAGAGCCTGTAAATTTAGCGTTTGTAAAAGAACTCTTTTGGAAAGAAACATTTTTTCCTGTTTCTTATACTAAAATATTGATTTTTGGCCGCGAAAACCTATCTGGCTATAAGTATATTAATTATCTGGCTATAAATATTTTAAGCGCGTACTGTGACGATTTTCCATGTTTTCTTCCTTCGACCGACACTGCTCGAAGTCATTAGAAATGATTCATACAGCAGGGGTATTTCGAATTCTCAGAATGTGAAGGGCCACCGAACGCCGAATGAACTGACTTTGAAGTTTAGTAATTAGCGTGTTGTAGAGCATGACGGTCATTTGCACAGGGCGAACTGAAAAGAAACTTGATTTACTCAGCACTGAGAAGAATGATTATGCGTTCTGCGACTGTTCGGCCGTTATTCACAAAACTAGCTTTTCACTACGAGCCTCAGCGCTCCGGAAGTTAAAAAATTCGTACCGTCTGGTTGCTATGAAGTGACGTAATCATCCAGTTGAGTATCCATCACCGTAACACTTTTGCGGTCAACTACCGCAGCGCTCGTAAAGTACTTTAATTAAAACCGTGTTCAAAACCCTGTAGGAAGTCTGTTTATTTTTGAGTCGATTAATGCACTGCTGACTTTCACGAGGTCAACTTTTGCATAAATTATCAAACATTATGTTAAGCGGGAAATCTACCTATGGTTCGCGGGAGAAGCAACTTCTATAGCGGCGCAAGACAAATGTTTCGAGAGTCGAGGATGTGCTCACAAACTATTCACTATGCGACGAAAGGAGAAATCACTGGCATGATAGCTGCATGTAATGGTAATTTTATCAATCCAGGTCGCGCCGTGTTCGCTCGAGAA